TATCTAAAGTGAAGGCGGTCTGGATCATTCTTTTCATAGACTCAAAAGACTCAAAGCTTAATTTGGCGTCTCGCGATAGTTCCTGATATACTCGGCAGAGTTCCAACGAGGATTTAGAGTTTTGGTGTGCTTTGTACACTGTCCGAGAAAGTGACGGTCTTACGAGCTACATTTAGTGTACATTTCAGTGCCCAGGGGCTGATCTCTTGCATTGAACCATCTGTGTAAAAAAAAGCGATAACTCTTTTTTTCGTGTTGTAGCTGCTTACAAGACAAAAATATGTTAGAAATCTGCTTTAGTCACGGCTGATTAATACTTCACTAATTGCATTTTGAAATGCAAAAACACACATTTTGAACAAAAAAGCCAATTCTCTGTCCAACATATAATTCGGCCTCAATTTCAGTCATTTTAAGAACGTGGGAGTGTGTCGGGGATTTGGACTTGAAAACTTAAACAATTATTAATGAGAATAAATTGACAGTCACGTCTACAAAATACCGGTTTATAATTTAAAAAATATTTGGAACATAATATTCAGCTGTTTTAATTAGTTTTTCAAAGCAGCACTTCATTCTGCTATAAAGCAGCTTATAAATTAAAAGTTCAGAACGATTTTAAACAAGGTTACTCGAGAAATAACACGAGTCAGATTTCTGGCATTAGCTGAAGTGAAAAAAGTTTAAAACAAAATTGAGGAACGGTATTCATTTTAAACTGCTTTTGACGCACAGTAGGATGCAGCATATATATCTATTTCTTCAAATTAAAAAAAAAAAAACGAAAAAAAAAACGTTTTAGCCTGACACTTTTTTTTCATTGAGCTTCTTATTTTTTCAGGATTCACTACTATACTGCGACAGATTCCTTGCTTTCTGAAAGCAGTTTTGAAGATAGTGAAGAGAGTGCATCAAAACTGCGAAACGACCCTGAACGCAGAAAAATTTATGTAAACTTAAAAAAAAAGCAATAAGAAATTCGCTTCCAACACTGTAAATACAATGTTTTCTCCTTTTTGCCACAGTTTCTGTGGTACAAATTTCACCAGCTCACAAATTTATATTTCCTCGTGCTGTCTGCATTGCAGGTATGAGTTGTTTCTTTATAAATGTAAAATATAACGGACCTGGTAAACACAATGTAGCAGAAATTCCCTTGCTTTACCAGCTTTTGAAGAAAAAATCTTTTTTATCTTAATTTTTTAAAATGCTAAAGATTTTGCAGATGTTTCTAAATTATAGCAAATTATTGGATTTAGCCCTATCGTTAGCTTTACAACAACTGTTCCGTTCACTTTGACTCTTTTAATCTCAGCCGTAAAAGAAGTTTGGGAAGACCGGGTAAAATTTCGATTCGTATATTGACCTCCAGTAAAATTTTGCTACTCTGTAAGCTTACTAAAAAGTTTTTGGCAGGTTACTACCTTGAAACTGATTTATAATTGACAAATCTGTTTTCATATCCTTTTTAAATTTCCTTGATGATTTCCGCTCAAATTATTTGGGTGACTAAGCTGGGTTTTAGTTTTACAAGATCACACAAGAAATGAAGAATTGAAAAATATAAATAATTTGTTATTTTAGATGAGAAAGAAGGCTGATGACAAAGTGAACAGAACAACAACGACTGTTTTAAGAGATGCAAAGTGGGTCATTGCAAAATGGGAAGAGGTCACTTGTAGCTCAGTTTTGAGTTGTAGCGTTTGATATGCTTAGTGGTAGAAAAAAGTCAATTTTTACAGACTGTGCAAGAAAAATATTTGCTTTTTACACGCATGACATTAGACATCTTTCGCCACTGCATTCAAAGTAAAATAATCAAATCCACAGAGCGAATATCTAGAAATTACGTTAAAGAGTACCTCATTTCAGCTGGTCGTTGGCGACACCGTGAAAGTAGAGGAAAGTCAGAATTTCCCGGCAGATTTGTTGTTAATTTCGTCAAGTGAGCAGGATGGGCAGTGTTTCATCGACACCTCGAACGTAAACGGCAAAACTAATTTAAAAATACGATGTGGTTTACAATGCACGACTAATTTGAAAGAAGCTGAAGGCTTCAACCAGTTTTCATGTGAAATTGACTTTGAGTCGCCGAACGAGAATGTGAACGAGTTTCATGGAACACTGATTATCAAGAATGAGAAGCACACTTTAGGTTTCTTCTGTTACTGCACGAAATAAGAAATGCGTATTGGTAGCGAAAAATATGAATTTGTCTAGTTCAGGTTTTGAGATACATCAGACTGCACAGCAAAACAGCAAAGATGCAGCTGTGTAAAACAGATTGAAGTGAAAAACTGAGGTGGTGATGATTTACATAGCACATTTGCAAGATCAAATTTTCAATTTTAGCGAAAAAACTTTCCAAATTAAAATACTTTCTGTTCAAAATGCAGTAAGGTGACCACCACTTGCATTATAGTTTAGTAGTGTTGAGCTCATTACTTTGGTCATTAATTAACTCTTCTTCCTTTCGTAAAGTTGATTTTGTGAACATGTTTGACTAAAATTCTATATAATAGTCGCGCTTGTCTTACAGGAGTTGAACAGTTTTTGATTCGTGGCGCCTGCTTGAGAAAAACAGAATGGGTCTGTGGTATAGTACTGTATACTGGTCATGAAACAAAACTATTAATGAATATGAAA